AGTCGAGACCTTTGTTTTTGAATCGAGACGAGTTGTTTTTGAATCCATGTCAAAACTGTTGTAGAATCTTCCCAAAAGTGCTTTTCAACATTTTGCCATCGTAAACCATTTAAAACAGAAGAGCACAGTCTGGCTTCTATTGTCGCAGCTATTAATTCCAGACAAAGAATCATGATAAACTTAACAGGAGTACTTTAAACTTCAATGGCAACAAATGAACTTCAACTCCAGAAGTCGTTGCAGTTCTCAAGAAAACTTCAGCAGCATACACATTACTATTAGCATCAGAGAAAGTGTGAATGCTGCAGAACTTTTTATTGTCCTTGCTGGAATGTAGCCATTGTAGGATGGAGATTTCTTTTAAGAGAAGACTGTTTTTATACACGTTCACAAAGTTTTCTTTTGTGGGCTTGTCGACTTCGGTATCCCAAGAAGTTCTTGTTTTCCATAGGTTCTGCAACAATATTTTCGGATACAGGAGAGCATGAGCCACATTACAGTAGGATAAATTATTTTGTGTGTTACAGTGAGAATTGTTCTCTCTGTTATTTCATTCATTTTAAAATTGTCTAACCAATTCAGATTGAAAGTTTAAATTGTCTTTCTGACAGTTCCGTAAGAGGTTCAATACGGGTGAAATAGTTTCCTCTTATAAGTTATCACTGGCACGTAACCAGCTCTGAAGAAGCGAAATTTCCTTCGTACATTATTTCTCGAGATTTTTCAGTGAACTGAATCATCTTGGATTCATAGTCAAAACTGGCAACAACGCTATATATAGTAGTAGTGTTTATTATATATGTAAGCTATGCAGGAGTTTAGTTGTTATCTCTGTATCATAACAAGAATCTTTCATGTGCTATTGTTGAGGGAATTCTATAACAGCTGGCAGAAGGAAAGGACTAATATCTTGACTCCCAAACAATAGTATGACTAAATATTTTTGTTTTCTTTTCTTCTGCTTTGTTCCACTAAAAACATAGTAGTCAATCTCTCTCCTGAGTTTTTACACTGATCTGTAAAAAAGTCTTATCAGTTTCTGCTGTAGTAGCTAACTTGCCTTAATGAAATCTCAACAGAAGAGAAGGAATTAGTTCTACCAAATTTGGACCACACTCCAAACAATAAGTTTATTTGATGAGTTATTGCAGTATAAACCTACACTTCTTTTCTCTACTCTAATAACATATTCAGGCAAACAATATTTAACAAGAGGGTATAATATACTTGCATATTTATCAGACATGACATTTAATGTCTTGAGTGCTTTCAGATGAGTTTCAGTTTTATTATACAGCTTCACGAGTTATGTCGCTAAGTTTCGGCTCTATGTATTATTCAAAATTAAGCTCAACAACTCTCTTACATTTACTTCTATGAAGATGTCACCTTTGCCGAATTGAGCTTTAAGACATTCAATTACTTGATGATAATTGTCAGCTGACATGAGGAAAGAATCAAAGATAACTCTTGCATTATATCTTTCAGCTGTGGCTTGAAATAAATATTGCATTTTATCTTCAGGTGGCATATCTGGATTGTTGTGAATTTTCTTAAATTGAACCCGGAAGCCCAGCCATTCCTTAATCACTGATTTTTTTTAAAATTCAATTTTTGGCAGTTTAAATTTCCGGTTTTGAACTGTAGCATTAAGAATACTCTTATCATTTTAATTAGTATTACACATTAATTATTTTTCGTATCTTAGTTCTAAGCCATAAATGTTTATCTCTATATATTTTACAACCCTTATACGCTTTATGAAAATCATTAATTTAAGGTCCTCAGATAACAATTTTATAACTTCTTTTTCTACCAAGTGAAATTCTGACCATTTTTCTTCTAACTGCATCATGAGGATTTCAATTTTTTCTATATCAGGTACTTCTTTTCCTAAACAGTCTTGCAATTTATTAGATATTCATATAAAAACACGCTTTAAAAGAATTTGTAATTTCTTTAGACCCTCCATTTGTAGAGTTAATAAGTGATCATATATTTGTAATCATATAATAATACAATAAATAATCCCTCCCAGGGTGAGATATAGAAGGGTAATATATTAGAAGATCAATAATAATATGGGAAAAGATAAACCTTACCTTTTTTCTTCTTCATGGTGGCTCATGAAAGAGGTCTTCTTATAAAAGAACTGATTATTCCAATCTAAAGTAGAGGGCTTCCTTTAAGAAAACAAAATATTTTATTATTATTTACAAAAAATTTAAATGATATATCTATCATTTAAATCCTTTGTAAGTGCTAATAAAATATGTTGTTAATAATATATGTTTATAAGCGCTGCTTACGTTATTTGTAAAATTAATGGCAAATATGGTAAGCAGCACTCATTTCTACTTTCATTCATTATTGAAAACTACTGTCTCTGTAGTTTTTTTAAGTCTCCAGTTCATTTCATAAGATATGAAAACTGCCGAGATTCTGGCTCAGCAGCGATAGAGATATCTTGCCAATTTAGCAAGGGCCCACCAGCGGCCGAGTGGTAAAGTCTCTGAACACTGGTAGTTCGGTCCGAGGTTCCAATCTCATGAATGGGCTGGCTGCATGGGTGTTTTCGTGGTTTTTCCCATGTGTAACGTGCATACGAGCCAGTTTCCCTTAGAAAGTCCTCCACGAAGGCATCCCTCAGCTTAGGCAGATAGCCCTCGAGGCTTTGCCGTAATTAAATAACCTAACCTAACCAATTTAGCAAGATAGTCATTTGCCTCAATGTTAAATAGACTTGCCCCTGTAACCTTATTTTTCTGGCAGAGCTTCACTTTTTCAAGCAAGTCATATTCCATTATACAAAAGATACTACAATTTCACATATAATTTCACTATTATTTAGATATATACAAAATTCATAGCATTATTAAATGTCATTTTTTTCACTGTGCAAAGTGCCTGGACGTAAGCAAACAATTTGATTTAGTATTTAACCAGTTCACCATTTGCCCCGAGAGAGATACATTCACAGGAAATGCATCGTCATCCGTTAGCGTCGGCAGACTATCGTCGGGGTGAAATCTGGGCCCAGACCATAAGCCCCGAGACACATACATCGTAGCATCTTTTTCCAGCTCCCCAGAATGAGTCAAAAATAAAAAGGGGTGATTGATAGGTCACTTAGTCACACTTATCTTCTCAGCAGTGTTGCATTAGGATCACAGCGAGGCTGTATCAGGAAAAGAAAAGAATGGGGGAATCATTTTCTTTGAGTGGATTCAGCCTCGACGCATCTCATGAGTTCCACAATAAATTCCTCCCTTTCATTAATGAACAAATAGGTTTGAAGGTTTTAAATTTCTTTTCAATTCCTAATGATTCCCTGAGGATACAAACAGTTTATTATTTTCTGATCTATGAATTGCATTGAAATGTTATACCTAATACCTGCATTTTATTTTATCATCTTATCTGAACACATAGAAATATTATTAGTTTTAAGTTTCATTATGACTATGTTGCGCCAATTATGAATGACATTGGTGAAATGAAATTTTTGAAATTAATTTTTCAAAACTTTAATTATTAAATAATATTTTACATTTCAGTCGATACTTTTATATTTTTTTAAATATAATTAATTGAGAAAACTACAGCTAAAAGTCGTATAGAAATATGTAAATAAGAATAAATTTCTGGTATTTTACAATGTATAATTTGTTATGCATAGTTCCCGTTATTTATTTAATGCTTGACTCATGTTACACACTTAAAATTTAGTACTTAAAAATTTAATGTATTTAAATTCTAATTACAAAATGGAAATCCACGATTTTATGTTTAACATTTTAATAATTTTATTTATAACATTTAAAATATACGGGTTATAGTGTGAATGCTTCATATTTTTAACCTACATATACCAAAACATTGAAATAAACTTACATAGGTATTTAGGTTCGCCTAATCTAATTTTAAGGACACCGAAAAGTTTTTGTGAGGATGGTCTTGGAAGATACAATTCTTGAAGCCATTTACTTTTATGAGTCTAAGAAAAAGGAAATATTAATGGAATTATAAAGATAGTTTCAACAGTTACACATTTAAAACTTAGAAATGGTAAAAAAAAATTGCTCCTAAATTTTATTATGATTAATGTTGAATTTTCAGCCTAATTTAAAAAAAGAAGTGCCACTTCTCTAGTAATCTTTTTATCAAGAACAACTAAAAACAGTTACTACTACCTTCTTAATCTTTGAAACTAGTACTTTGCATAATACAAACTTTCATTGCTGTAGGAAATGTTTGCACACCAGTGTACAATAGCCTAAAAAAACTCTAAATTAAATAACTGCAATTTTAAATCAGAACCTTAAATATCTAAGCCAAAGTTTTTTTTTCCATATAAAAAAAAAAAAAAAAAAAAAAAAAAGATTTTAAATTAAATATATAAAAATGTACGGGAAATAATTCGATGATTAGTTTTGTTACAGTGTATCAAGAAAATAATAAAAAAAATAAGGAAATTTCAAATAGGCAATACTAGCTAATCGAATTAAATTTTACTCTAATGAATAAAGCTTTTACTTGTCATTTAAAAATTTCATTTACATTGTAAGAGATTGCAGTAGATTTGGGGTTCATACAAGAAGTGAAGTCAAAGCAAAAAATATCTGATGTAAGTGATACACCTTTCTTTGTGCTTACAGTGCTCATTAGAGGGTCCTTATTCAGTGTGCTTGAGTGTGACAAGTACACTGTCAAGTTGATTTGAATAGAACTTTTAAAGAGAGCTTCACAGCTGGTGAAAGGGGAGAAAGAAGTAGTCTGAGGTTAGTTTTGGGCACAAAAAATTTATCTTTGCAGGAGAAAAATGGTACGAAATTTTTGTGTTTCCCAGGATGGCGAACTGGTTAAGGAAGCAAAGCCTAAGCTGCAGACTTTGTTTCTATAAATATCAACCTTGAACATGCATATGTAGTGTATATATGCAAGCAGTTTACTATAAGAGTGACAAAAAAACTTATGCACTTATATGAAGTAATTGTTTTTCTAGATTAATTTCTAATTAAATTATATGTAATGCGTTTTAATTGTTTTTTTAGCAGACATAGCTGAAACTAAAGAAATTGCTGAAGTGCCATCATCTCAGATACAAAGACCTGCAGATTTGCCATCCAGTGAACGTAAGTTTTTTTAGTTGTACAGTTTTTTTACATATTATTTTTTGCTTATAAATTATTATTTATTTGAATTTAATTAGTTTATGTTTAGTTTTTGTATTGTTGTAATTGGTATTTATTGTATTTACTCTTTTTTTTTTTTTTTTTTTTTTTCTTTTTGATGAATTATTAGTTACTTAAGCACTATATTTAAAAATTACTGTGTTTTTCTAACAGACAGAAGCAATTATTTTAACATATTATTTTTAATTTAATTTTTTAATTAATGTTTTAAAGATAGGTTTTGCCACTAAGCAACCTATTGCTAAAATATTAAAGTATTTGCACTTCATTTCCTCAGATTAAACATCATGAGATATTAGTATTATATAGCACGGATGTTAATAGTGATAAAAATTTTCTGAATGATACTGTAGTAATATATTATTACATGCTAAGTAGTCTATTTAACATAGTGTAACAAATTATCATACTCATTCAGTTATATAGAAATGATTAATGGTGTTTGTAATACAAAGTTATTTAGAGTCGTTTGTCTGCAAGTTGACTTTCTAGGCATTATGGATACCTTGAAGGGATGCTATTGTTTTCTCACTATAAATGATATCCTATCCCCACCAATAAAAACCAATGAAAGTTGTTTTGACAAAGTATAAAATCTATCTTATATTTTTCATGCTTTAAAGTCATGTTTCTTTAGTTCACCAGTAATGTAAAATCGTGTTCTCACTACCATAACAAAATGAATCATTTTAAAAATCAGTCTGCATATCTTATTAACATTGTGCATCAAATGTTTTGTCAAATGATTTTATTAAAATTATAATGTACTTTTTGATAATTCAAATTTGTATGTGTTTAAAACACAGTTTAATTTTCCTATTAAAATAGGCATATCTGTTTGTCAAGCCTTATATGACTATGAAGCAACCTGTGATGAAGAGTTAAGCTTCTTTGAAGGGCAGGTAATAAAAATTTTACGTAAAAAAGTATGCGATGTAGATGATGGCTGGTGGGAAGGCGAACTTGATGGGAAAATAGGACTTTTTCCATCATTAGTCGTGGAAGAATTAAAGGAAAATGGTGAACCTCTCACACCTATGTCACCTGAGGTATGATACAGAATTGCTTAGCTTTTATTTCTGTCATTCATACTTTATATTGTTGATTACTTGACAGTTTATAATTCTCATTTGTATGGTTATATTTTTTTAAAAAAATAATGTAGAATTAATATGGTACTAATTATTGTGGTCCCCATTTTTTAAATGTCAAGTTCACACCAGAGTTAGAAGAAAATAAATCCCTTTTCTGTTACAAACAGTATTCAAAAACCACTAAACCAGTTATCAAAACATTTGCTCTTTCTTCACTTGCAGCTTTTCACATTACCTTTGCAAATGCTTTCATTGATATGTACTATTACTTAATAGTCATTTTCGCATATGCAAGGTAAAATGCATCTTTCTTGAAGAGAAAATATACCATTTTCCTTACTTCTCAGCAAATCAAACATGTTAAAAAAAGTTAATATGAGGCATTTGGAGCTCTCTTCATGACGAGAGACTTATGAATTATCATGAATTGTTTACATTTAATGAAAAAACGAAAATACAATAATATATGGTTTATTAGTAGCTTCTTTAGCCGTAAGCAAATTATAAATATTTGTTGTTAGACTGGCATTTAAAGATATTTTGCACTGCCAATTCAATAATTATCTTTATGCAAGGTTCTTCAAAATGGGTTCATAATAATTAGAAAGTACTATTAATACTAAGGGAAACTGCTATTTTAGCTACAAAATCAAAATTGCTTTCTACATTGATTTTAAAATTAGCAATGAATTGACTAGAATAATAGTATATTACTACATTTCTAATTAGAAATTTTATGAGTTTTTAATTTAATTGAAATTTCAAATCTGTCATATTTATAAAAGTTGGACAAAACTTAAAGGACTTACGCTGAAAAGCAGTTGTAGTAGAACTGTCTATGTGTATATCCATCTGTAATTACTTATTTATTTGAATTTAATTAGTTTATATTTAGTTTTTGTGTTGTTGTAATTGGTATTTCTGATATATGTGAACTGATATGTCATGCATTTAACACGGTTAATGTTTTGAGTGCACTATCCTCTATTTAGCATAGTTTTATTAAAGAATCATAGTTAGAATAACTGCAGGGGTTGGACAAAAATATGGAAACACCTTTAAAAAAACATGTTTCTTTGCTTAATATGGTGTAGGAAACCCGTTGGCATCCAAAACAGCTTGCAGTCTTTTCTTCTCGGATGGATAATACAGTTCCTGTATGTTTGCCAAGGGAATATTATACCATTCTTCTTGCAAAACGGTGGCAAGTTCAGATAACGATGTTGGCGGTGGATAATGAGAACGCACTTTCCGTTCCAATGTAGACCACAAAGATTCGATAATATTCAGGTCTGGTGACTGTGGTGGCCAGGGGAGATGGGACAACTCATCCTCGTGCTCAGAAAACCAGTCCTGGACAATGTGAGCTGTGTGAACAGCGGCTTTGTCGTCTTGGAAGACACCATCACCATCGGGGGAACAAAGTTTGTACCATGGGATGAACTTGATCGGCCAAAATGTTCACATAAGTCTTGGCAGTCATGTGCCCTGACACAGTTATCATGGGGCTAGCAGAGAACCACGATATGGCTTCCCCAAACCATAACAAACCCCGCCATGTTTCACTCTTGGCAACAAGCAGTCTGTATTATAGGCTTGAGATGGCGTTTTCCAGACGTAAACTCGGCCAGAAGTGGGAAACGATGTGAAAGAAGACTCGTCAGACCATATTACTCGCTTCCACTGCACTATACTCCAGGCTTTATGACTTAAACACCACCTTTTCCTGTTACGGGCATTAGCATCACTGATGAGTGGCTTCTCAATTGCAGCATGGCCAGCAGTTCCCTGTTTATGAAGCTCCCTTCTAATTGTTTTGGTACTCACAGGGTTCGGTAACACAACATTCATTTCAGCAGTAACTATTGCCCTTAATGATCGTCTGTCACGATCACTCGGGACACACTTTCGTTCGCGCTGTGATTTGGCAGATGATGTTTTTCCGCTTTTCAAATATGCGGAATAAATCTTCGATACAGTACCTCTTGAAACACTAAACACCTCGGCTACCTTGCTTAACGAAGCACCTACCATACGTGCTCCAACAATTTGCCCACGTTCGAAGTCTATTAACTCTGACATAATGCAATGACGACCTCACATAACAGTACTCCGACACAACTGAACTGTTTAGCACATTTACGAAGTTGTATAGGTGGCGTCAGTAGTAAAAAATGCCAGCGCCACCTACATATTTCATTAAAATCAATCTTTCTTTTCAAACATGCATTTCACAAGGTGTTTCCATATTTTTGTCCATCCACTGTATGGTATATTTATTTAACAAGTTAGAGAGTTTTCTTAACCCAGATAGAACACAAATAGAATACAAATCAAAGTTAAGTCTTTATAAACATTTAAATCAAAGTGTTAAATAAAGAACTTAAAAGAGATTTATAAGTTTTAAATAGCTTCAGGCTTACCTATTTAGGCAATATTTTTATTTTTTTATTATTCATAAAAGAAGGTAACATGATGAAAAGAATGAAGCACAAATACAGTGCAAGTGCAAAATCTCTTTAGGACTTCTGCATCTGAAGAATAAGTAGAATCTTTTCTCACCAATATATATCGCTTGGTGCTCGTTTTGTTTTTGACATTGCCAGGTTTCATTATGCAAAAGTGACTCTAATTTACTACAACAGAAATGTTGTAAATTGTTAGATACATTGAAATAAAAGGTGCTTTTTGTTTTAACAAAATTCAATGCTAAACTTTAATACTTTTTTTTTGTCATAGCATGTAAAATATTAGTCTGAAATAAATTCTGAATATACAACTTTTGAACATTTTATTTTTTAGTCTCCTCCTGAAGCTCCTCCACCTCCACCATATTCTCCACCTGAAGCCCAGTTCATCATTACTCCTGCTCAGGTCATCCTTACTCAACCTACACCTGAAATAGAAAATCCTGATGAAAGTGGACCAAAAGGTGAATTTCTAGATAATTTATACCTCATGCAACAAACAAGGAAAATATTCTCTCTGATATAATAAAATTCTGTAAATTGTGTCACTGTAACAGAATATTCCAACAGCAGGAAATATTTCTATGCAAATACAAATTAAAATTGGAAACCACCATAGAAATCGAACCTATATATCTGCAGCATTGTCAGATAAGTTCCAGGAAATTTTTTTTATTTCTGAGTTTTTTTTTTTTTTTTATTTATTTTATGTTACCTGGTATGCATTCTTACTTGACATGACCTTGGGCATATTTCCATGTAAACTCACTAGGTAGCAGGCCTGTACTTTAAACACACTGTTTGGATTGTTGTCACATTCGTTAAGGTGACTCGATGGATGCTGATTGTTAGCAAAGAGTGAGAATTAAGCTTTGGAAAACCCCTAGTGAAATGCCGAACATGATATATGCAGGTGAGGCACTTTCAAGAAATCGTGTTTTCAAGTGGCACAAAAGGTTTTGTGAAGGCAGAGATTTAGTGCAAGATGATCCCAAAGCTGGTTACCTGTTTGTAGCATATACCAATGCAAATGTGGAGTGAAGGGAGTTATTGCAAGAGAACCATCGTGTAACTGTGCATATGATATCAGAAAAACAGAATTTGACTTGTGATGTATAACATGAGATTTTACGTGAAGATTTAGGGAAACAGAAACTTAATGCAAGAATCGTCCATCACTCACTTAGAGATGACCAAAAAGAGGAAAGACGAAGAATTTCTACTGAACTATTGGATTGAAGCAGGTGTGATCCTACATATGTGTCAAGGATTACTGTGATTTTTTCTTGTTTCCATGAGTGAATAGGTGACTGAAAGGAAAGCTTCATCAAGATTATTGCAGACATCCAACGGGCTGTGACAAATTAGCTTGCAAGCATCACAGTTGAAGATTTCCCTGCTTGCTTTCAAGACATTTAGAAACATTGGCAGTTGTGTATAGATAGCCAAGGGAACTACTTTGATAGCAGCTAGGCTCATTACTTAGTAAACGCAGTATTCTATTTTTTACGGGGCTGTGACAAATTAGCTTGCAAGCATCACAGTTGAAGATTTCCCTGCTTGCTTTCAAGACATTTAGAAACATTGGCAGTTGTGTATAGATAGCCAAGGGAACTACTTTGATAGCAGCTAGGCTCATTACTTAGTAAACGCAGTATTCTATTTTTTGCGGGGCTGTGACAAATTAGCTTGCAAGCATCACAGTTGAAGATTTCCCTGCTTGCTTTCAAGACATTTAGAAACATTGGCAGTTGTGTATAGATAGCCAAGGGAACTACTTTGATAGCAGCTAGGCTCATTACTTAGTAAACGCAGTATTCTATTTTTTACTACCTTTGTCCTGAAACTTTTCTGACAGCATGGTAAATAGCTATAATCTGACAATAGATCACATTTAGAGGCTGCATACAAATTCAAGAATGAAATGTTTACATTTGTACCTAACTAAAAGTAAAATATCGGTTTGGAGAAAGGTTTCTGATATTAAGAAATTAAATGACAAGCATTTGCATGCAGATTATTATAAAAGTGTTAATCCATGTAAATTATTTTTCACAATCGAAATCTTATTCTCAATCTTATAAAATCCATGTTCCAGAAAACACTGGCAAGCTTCAGTATTTGCTTGCAGCCCAAATCATAAAATTGCTTGCATTAATTAAAAATGAAAAAAATTTGGCATTTAATGAATTTTTTATACAGTTACCTGATTATCATTCTTAAGTGATAAATTTTCATTAGAATTTTAAAGATGTATTTTTAAACTTTGACAGCTTAGAAATTACTCATGTGAAAATTATTTTGGCACAACACATCTTCCTCTCCTCAATGGCAGGCAGCACTAGCTATTTAAGGTGTTGGCCACTACTATTGCTCAAAGTGGTAATCGTTTTATTATGGAGGCACCTAATAAGTGGACCATAATTGCTTCCAGGGTTAGACAGTTTACGTCCATACCTTCTCCTGGACTCGAACTTGGGTCCTTAAGTACAGCAGTCAGAGTCATTAACCACTTTCAAGCCTGGGTGGTGCATAAAAAATGTAACAAAATTATCAATAAAGACATTAGTAAATCACTAAAGAAAACCATTGATTGTCATTTAAGAAGGAAAAAAGTCAATCTTGAATTATTCTAATTTATTTATTAACTGACTCCTCAGTTCAAATAAAATTCAAATTTAAATGCAAAATTTTGAAATTTGAAATTTTGAAATCTTTGTTAATTTTTATTGTAAGGGAGTCAGTATGAGTTTTTATGTTTTGTTTTTAATAATGAGTATAATATGTATTTTTATAACGAGTATAATAGAATAAATAGATGTACTGTGTCCAAGGAAGCATACAAAAAGTTAGTTTACATAATTTTTACAAAACTGGTTTTATGAAATTAAAAAATGCCACAACATGAATATTTGCTTTATTTACAGTATTTGTAACTGGAAGTATATATTTATTATCAGTTGTTAGGAAAATAATATATATATATGATGTGTGTGTGTGTATGTATGTATAGACACACACACACACACACTGGTTTTCATTAATTAAAGATAAATCACAAAAATTATGGTTACTTAAAAAGTTACATATAGAATTTAATGAAATTGATGTACAGTATACAATCCATAGTAAGCTATAAAATAGCATGAAAAGAAACTGCCAGACAATTATGATGTTATAGAAATTTGCATATGTATCAAATGAACATATTGGATGTGTTAGTTTGGTATAGGAAAATCGTATATTTGGTATAGGAAATGGAGTATGATTATCTGTAGAAGTAGTACAATACATACAGCGATGTGCGATGCTGCCAATTATGCAGTCTATCAGTTCTGTAGAAATTGAGAGTCATTGCTTTTGCAAAGCAGTTGCAGGCTTGGCTGGGATCTGAAGGGGGAAGACTGAGAGCAGCTATAACATCTTCCAAAAGCATCCCAAACATGCTTGACAAGCTTTAGGTCCGGTGATTGAACTAGTTACTCTTTGGGCTGAATTGTTTGTTTCTACAGATAATCATCCACAATGCATGTCTTGTGCATTCAAGCATTGTTGTCCTATAATAAAAAATTATCACCTATTGCCCAGTGTAAGCATCAAGGATGTCATCTCTATAGGCCTTAGCGTTCATGGTTCCACGCGGAAGAACATGGAGGTCTGTGCATCTACTCAAAAAGATATCACTCCAAGCACAGACATTGCCCTTCTCCTTATGGATCTCTTTCATGGATGATAGCATGATCCAGATTCTCTTCAAATGAAATAAAGCATACTATCGCTTTGGAGACTAAACCTGTACTCGTTCGTAAAGGGAACAGCCCTCCATTGATCAGCTGTCCAGTGGACATGTTGACATGCCCATTTGAAACATTCCCTTCTATGACATGACATGGGCAGTATGCAAATGGCTGCTTGCCTCACCTACAGACCTCCTTTGTGAAGCCTTCTACAAATGTTGACGTTGACACCAACCTTCCAGTGGCTGCAGCAAGGGAGGATCTGAGTAGAGGTTCTGTTCCTTCATGTGCATAACAACAAATATCAGTCAACAATGCTCATCATAGTAGTTGACAATCCTTGGCTGAACCTCTTGGATGCAGAATCTGAGATTAGGAATTGTTGCCGAAGCCTATGAACCACAGAAGGACTTGTATCTGGTCACTTCTGTCTGACTTTGCCCTGCCCATTTGCTCTCCATCACAGTTCTTTGGGCAAATGATGTGTGGAGGTCATTGTTACAAATTGGCTAGCACAGATTCTCTTATCTCTGTATCACAGCGAAATTTGCAGGCTTGCTCTGAAACATACAATTTTATGCCCCTCGCAGGTGATATATTTCGATTTCAGTGCCACTAATTTGTATACTGCAGTTTTACTCAGCAATTCATATTTGAAAACATATTCAAATTTTATATGGATTGGCTATTTTCAAATTATTGCTATTTTTGTGATTTTGGAAACTAATATATGTATGTATATCTTAGCAAATATGTAATATACACTGAAGAGATAAAACATTATGACCACCTATTCAGTAATACGTTACATGATATTTGGCCTGCAAAACAGCTAAAACACCTTCGCATGGATGGCACAAGTTTTCAATAAATGACTGGAGACCGGTTGTACCAAATGTCTAAGCAGCAGTCACCCAATTCGAGATATTCTGATATGTGGTGGTGTTTGAGGTGTGAGCTGCTACTCCATGGCATCCTAAATGTGCTCATATCATTTTAAGATCTGGCAAGTTAGGTGGCCAGGACATTAAGTGGAATTCATCCTTATCCTCTTCAAACCACTCCACCACATTTCAAGACGTAACATAGGATGTCCTGCTGGAAGATTCCATTTCCTGTTGGAAACACCTATGCCATGTAAGGGTGCAACTGATCCGCAATTATTTTCAGATAGTCTGCAACTTTCATGGTCTGTTCTACCACAACTAAGGGTCCCAGAGCCGCCCATGAGAACATCCCCCATAGCATAATACTGCCACCACCAGCCTGTGTATGACCTACTGTATAGGGAAAGGGCAGTTGTTCACCTGGAAGATGTCATACTCTGATAGGACCATTTGTGATGAATAGAAATCATGATTCATCTGACTAGTCAACTTATCTTCCACTTATCTGTGGTCCAGTCTTGATGTTCCCGAGCACACTGTAGGCATAGTTGATAATGAAGCTTGGTCAACAGAGGCACACAAGAGTATAATGGGTATCTGCTGTGCAGTAACATACCCAACAGTGTCTACTGAACTTGTACTAGGATCTGCACTGTATTCAACTGTCAGCTGAGCCATTGTTTGGCACCAGTTTTGCTGCTGTACCAAGCGGGACAGTCTTTGACGTCTTTTTTGTTTGGTGGTGTGTAGACATCCAACATCTTGGCATCTGCTGCTGCTTCGGAGATACTCCTTGCAAATCTGCAGACCATTACAATCTGCCCTCTGTGAAATTCGCCT